CATCCCTGGGACCCACATGGCAGAAGGAGAGCCCTAACTCCTAACTCCTCTGACCTCCACACGCATACCTTGGTAAGCAAGTGCCCACACACATACTATAACTAAAATGTACTTTAAAAATTAAGCCTCAACTGGTCACACAGAAACACAGAAGGGGGAAACCTCCAATTCTGCACCTCTGTCTTTAAACTCTGCAGTTATGCTTATTTTATAAATCTCTATCTACACATATGGCAGGGTTAACTCCTTAGCCTGGAATCTGCAATGTGGGCTAGACTGCCTGTCAGTGAGCCCCAGGGACCTGCCTGTCTCAGCCTCCTTAGCACTGAGATCATAAGCACCCCCAGACTCTTTTAAAGAAGTATTCTTAATATGTATGTTTATATATTTAGTACGCATTCATGTACACTTTTCATGTTTAATAGACATATCCACGTGTCTGTATGGGTGCATGTGCACATGAGTGCAGTTGCTGACAAAAGTCAAAAGAGGGTGTCAGATCCCCTGGACCTGGAGTTATGTTATGGGTAGCTGCGAACTGTCAGATGTGAGTGCTGAGACCAAACTCAGGTCCTCTTCAAGAACAGTATGGAGTCTTAATCTCCCAACCACTGAGTCATCCCTCCAGCCCCACACTCTGCTTCTTTCCCTGCACCCCACATGGTTTCTGGGGCTGTAACTTAGCTTGCAAGGCAGGTACTTTGTAATCAGGTCCTCTTCCTGGCCTGGGTATCCAACCCTTTGACACTGCAATATGATGCTCTCATCTGCAAATACATTAGACTGCATTCATACCCATCCCGGGGCACATGTGAATTTGGGCAGAAGGAAGGCCTGTGAGTGTCACCTGTCCCCATTATGATCACATGGCAGGGAGACGTGACTTGCTGCCCCTGAACAGCACCCTCAGAGCACATTCTATCATATACTCACTAGTGAGGAAAAGATCAAAATTCAATGTCTACAGAATAGCTATGGTGTCAACTGGACACACACAGCTCTTACACCACCCCAAAGTCAAACCTCATTAGGATGAACCCCTAGACCAAAGACTCTGTGTTACCCATGGGTACCTAGCTATGCAGTTACAGAGAGCAGCAATGACTGAGCACTTAGACCTACAAGACATTTTCTCTTTCAAAACTACACATGGTTGCTGGCTTTGTTCAGAATTGCCCTAAAGCTGTTGCACCCCCGTGTTTCCCTTAATCTCCCTTTTCTCACTCTGACTCTCAGGTCTTTCTGAATTAAGAGCGAAGAAAGGCTTTTGCTTTGTGTTCTGTTCGTTGCTGTGGGAAGAAAAAGGGCATACTTATAAGGATACTGCTGCCATCAGCTTTCATCAAGTCCAGTTACCTCTACTGACTCTCACTGTGGCCCCTCCCAGCTGCCCCCCCACAGCGCAGCCATGGCCCCCATCACTTAGTGCTATTTACTTTTTAAAGACCCAGGGGAGTCAGCCTCAAGGCATAAGCACCTGGGTTGCTTTCTTACCCCCCTTAAATACAAATGTAGTCTATGGCACAGGGCCAGTTCTCTCTCACAGACGGCAAGGCCACCCTGGGCTGCTGATGGCCGGCATGATCACTGGCCATCAACTTGGCAGACTCCACTCTTTCCAAGTTTCCATTGCTTCTTACGTCAGTGAATAAAAATGTAACCACTAGACCTCATTTAATAGCTGGCTCTCAAATACAGCCCAGAGACACCGCTTAGGGGCGCTACCCACGGTGGGATGGGCCTTCCTATATCAATTAGCCATCAAGACATTTGATCTCGGAAGTCTGTCAGTTGAGGATTTTCAATCATGGGCCTCTGGGCTGTGTCAAGTTAACAGTTAAAGAAAACTATGACAGCCTGTCTCAAAGCATGAGACAGACAATGCCTGAAGAATGACACCTAAAAGTTACCCTGTGGCCCCCACAATCACGTACACACACTCATGCACACACGCACACACACCATACACAAGATGGGATCTAGTTGGAGGTCTTCAGGTTACTTGGGATTTGTACTCAAAGAAGATTCAGGATACAGCATCTAAGGTATGCCACCGTTTCTCCCTTCTCCTTTCTGGCATCCTGGCCATGAGGTGAGCAGGTTTCCCCCATAATGTGTTGCCATGATACACTGCCTCACCACAGGCCAAACTAACAGGGCCCACCAACCATGGGCTATTATCTCCAAAACTGTCCAAATAACTATTTTCTTCATAGGCTGGTGTATCACGGGCATATCTTACATTGGTGGACTGCTACCCTACATCAGCAGAGACTCAGCAATAACATGGTAGAGAAAGAGGGTGAGTCACTCTGCCACCTTCAAGGAGGGTGACTATGTTCGTATTTGGGGCCATCCATGTACGGGAAGGCCATGTGCTATATCTACTGAAGGCTATTTAAAAGAAGATAAGAAATGTAAAGCTATCTATGGTGTGACTTTCAAGTTGTAAATGTCAGTGACAGCCGAGTCTGCTGCTTATGGATCTCCTCCAACACCAAACTGACAAGAGCCCAAACCAACAGTTCTGGGGGAGGTTGACAGGCAGCTGCTCTTTCAGTAGTCAGGTTTGGTTGAGCCAAGATGCCCCTCCCTAAAAGGTGGCTAACTTTGGAACGCCAAAGTTGGGGGGTGAAGAGTTAACAAATTTAGGTAGTAGAAAGGTATATCCCAGGAGTCCTACATGACGTTAACACATCTGCCTGTTTCATGAAGGCTGTCAAACCCACACAATGAGAAAAAAGAGAGCAGGGGGAAGATATGAAGACTGCCAGGAAAAACAAAACAAAACAAAAAGTACAGAAAATGCAAAATAGCCAGGCGGTGGTGGCGCACACCTTTAATCCCAGCACTCGGGAGGTAGAAGCAGACAGATCTCTGTGAGTTGGAGGCCAGCCTGGTCTACAAAGCTACACAGAGAAACCCTGTCTCAAAAAAGAAGAAAAGGAAAATGCGAAATAGACCAGCAAAATAGACCAAGTTACATGTAGCCCAGGCTGTCCTCAAACTCACAAAGTAGCTGAGGATGACTTTGAACTCTTGATCCTTCTGCTTCTACCTTCAGAGTACCAGGACTACAGATATTCACCTCAACACCCAGTATATGTAGTAATGGAGACTGAACCCAGGGCTTCCTGCATGCTAGGCAAATACTCCCAGTGGAGTGAGATCCTACCAACACTTGTCTCTAAGCATAAGATAACCTATTGAAGAGCAGAGACAATATGCCGAGTTCTGCCCTCCCCAAAGGCCAGCCTGTCGTTGGCAGCCATGGAAAGCACTGAACAGACTGCCTACCAGACACCACTGAACCAGTTTCATGGAGCGCACACCCTGAGGATAACTTGCTCTGTTTCCAGATCCTACAATGTCTCATTCTCATTAAGAAGGTTGTGGGCATTCAATATGCTTACTGTATTTTACACAAAAAGAAAAAAAAAATTCCAGGTCCTTGGAGATTCAAAGTGCCTTTGAGCTTCCAAAGGAGACACTTCCTATTTCCCGGATTTCTCCCAGAGGGACAGACTCTCAAGGTGACAGCCAGAGTGAAACCAAAGATAAAAGTCACATGGTCACATGACTGATTTAGCGCAAACTTTAATGCTGTTATTCACATTAAGTCCTTCTTCTGAGGGCATCGCCTGGGTGTTTTTGCTCCTGTGATGTGGTTAGAGTCTGAGTGTATTCAAAGACCCAGGCACATAAAAGAAATAAGGATTAGAAATGTTTAATATTGCATTGTGCTGGCCCCATAACTTTGACACCCAAATCCTCTCAGCCTGTGAGGCCCACATGCTCTGCTCCGAGTTTATCAAGGTAACTAACTCTCAGAGGGAGTTTGAAGCACCACAGAGGACCCAGACAGATGAAAGAAATACTTAGCAAACTGTTTTCTCTACAAAATAGACAAAATATGGGGAACAAGGAAATAAACTGCTTCAGCAAGGGTTCCTCAGATAGCCCCAGTTCAGATAAGGTTCGACCATTCTGTGTGTGAATACACATGGTATACTCAATCGTTCTGTGTGTGAGCATATATGTGTATGGTGTGAGCGGAGTGTGTACACTTGTACATGAGGCCAGGAGGGCATCAGATGTCCTGTTGTCTCATGTTTTGCCTTATTCTCTTGAGATAGGGTCTTTCACTGAGCCTAGAGGTAGGCTGGCATCCAGCAAGCCTATTGTCTGTCCCCCAAAGCACTGGCATTATGGGTATATGTATGGCCATAAATGGGTGCTGGAGATTTGAACTCAGGTCCTTGTCCATCTTCCCGTTCTCATGTTAGACTGTCTTTCGAAGCCATGCCTTTCTACTTCAGGGGCTTTACATGTAGCTCTATCATAATCCACTGTGTCAGCCCTGGGTTTGGCTGCTTCTGAAGGGGCCATGGCTTCATTAGAATTAGTGGCTATGACTGAACTGAAAATTCACCCAAGTTCCTATTTTGTAAAGATTACATGAAGTAATAAATAGATTCCTGTTAATCCTATAGAGATAAGACATTTCTGCACAATTAGCCTGACAGCTAGTCTACTCTATACCTTCACTAGATACCCAGAGATGTCCCCTCAGGATTAAAGGCATCAAGGAAACATCCACAGCCTCTGGAACCAGTGTGTCTCTATTTGGCTTTATTTTGCTTATGAGATGTGTGTTTGTGTTTGATGTATGAAAATGTTTGTGTATTTCTTTTTGAGACAGAATTTCATGCAGCCCAGGCTGGCCTCCAACTTTGTACATGGCCAAAATGAGTGAACTTCGGATTCATGCTCCTCCCCATTCTGAGAGCTGGAATTATAGGCACACACCACTACCCATGCTTTAATGTAGTGAAAAGGATTGAACCCAGGACTTTAGCTACATCCCCAGTGTCTATTTTTTTTAATGTTTCTAAAAGATAACATCTGACTCAAATCCTTGGTTCTCTCTCTCTTCCAAGGGCAAGAATTGTGATCTCTGTGCTCAGGAGGAATGCATGGTTGCTGACTGCAGCACTTACCTGGTCTAATGAACCCCTCTCGAAAGTCCACTTCCAGGGAAGAATCACTCCTGAAAGAAAAGGACAAAAACAGCTTTAAGTGCCCCTGTGGAAGGACATGAGTCACTGCCCGGAGAGGCTGTCAAAGAGCTTGCCCGACCTCTGTTTCTGACTTTTGGAACTCAGATGCCTAAGAGGAAGACATTCTCCTCAAAGACATTACAACCCAGGGGTTAGGAAACAGCTCAGTGGGAAAGAACGTTGCTTGCAATCATAGGGACCCACCTTTCATCCCAGAACCCATGGAAATGCCAGGAGTGATGCTGGGCCCTTATAATCCCAGCTAAGGCGGGAGATGGGAGACGGGAGGTGGAGACAGGTTGATCCCTGGCCCTTGCTGGACAGCCAGCTTAGCCTACTGGTGACACTCCAGGCCAATGAAAGACTCTGTCTCAAAGACAGGTGGATGGGACCTGAGGCCGGCAGAAACAAAGCAACTCTTGGGTAAGGAAGGAGTACCTATACTAAAGCACAGACACTAAAGCTTTTACCAACTCCATCACTGACTAGACCACAATAATAGCATCACCACACATGGTTCTAAGCACACAAACACAAGCTCAAAAACAGCTCTGTTACAAAGTCAGGAGATAGGGCGGTGGTGGCACACGCCTTTAATCCCAGCACTCGGGAGGCAGAGGCAGGTGGATCTCTGTGAGTTTGAGGCCAGGCTGGACCGACAGCCTCAAAAACAATACAGAGAAACCCTGTCTCGTAAAAACAAAAACAAAAACAAAAAAACAAAGTCAGGAGATAAACACAAAAACCCAATTCCAAGTCTGCTCCTTCAAATACAACACATTTTACTTGCATCTGTCCATTTTTTAGGGCCTGGAGAGATGGCTCAGTGACTAAGAGAGATTACTGCTCTTCCAGAGGATTTGAATTCAGTTACTATCACCCACATCAGGCAGCTCACAACTATCTGTAACTCCAGCTCAGGGTAATTTGACACCCTCTTCTGGCCTCTGCAAGTACCGCACTCATCTGCATAAACACACACACACACACACACACACACACACACACGCACACACATGCACACACATTCTGATAGCTAAGAGATATCTCCTCAGACACTTATAAAACAACCACATCTTCTATAGAAGGGGAAAGAAGAGAAAAGATCTGTTATCACACACACACACACACACACACACACACACACACACAAACGAATTGATTAAGTCTTCTAAAACTAACCAACTAGTCCTTATTCTATTTCATGGAAATGTATACTACAAAATAGTTTGGTTATTTTTCATCCACATGGGAGCAATTTCCTCTTTCTAAGGACTTTGGCATAGAACTGTTTACAGTATCAACATCTTTATCCCTGAGAGCAAGCTCTAAGCAATGCCAGAGGAGGGTACAGGCCTGCATGCAGACCAAAACCTCAACTACTCCAGATCCACTGTCTCTAGGAAGCAGCTGGGCTCAGTAAATGCTTACTGCTGGGTGGGGCTGAGGTCTTGCCAGTGACTGCTCAGACCTTCTTAGATGAGCCTCTGAGATATCACTGAGTGAGGTAAAGGAATAGATTCTGAGAAACATTACAACAAAGAACAAAACTACCAACTCTGATAACTGTAGTTATCAAGATGTGTGGGGAGGTGAGGGAATAGGTGCTGTTTATGTGGGCATGGACATAGTCCTTGTGCGTACAGAGGAGGACTCAGTGTAAGGCGTCTTCCTCAATCTCTCTCCGAATTAATTTTTGTAAGATTTATTTTTATCTCATGTATATAAGTGTTTTGCCTGTGTGTATGTATGTAAACCACATGCATGCCTGGTGTCAGAGAAGGCCAGAAGAGGGTGTTGGATCCCTTAGAGTTACAGATGGTTATAAACCTCTATGCAGGTGCTGGGAATCAAACCCAGGTCCTCTGCAAGAGCAGTAAGTAATCTTAACCACTGAGCCATCTCTCAAGCCTCCACCTTACCTTTTGAGAGAGCACTTAGCTAGAAGCTCACCAACTCAGACAGTGAACTCCAGGGATCCAGCTTTCTCTGTCCGTCCCCACCCCCCAGGGCTAGGGTGACAGACACATGCCACTAGACCTGGCTTTTTACATGGTGCTGGAAATCCAAGCATAGATTCCCATTCTTAAGCGACAAGCAATTGGTGAACTGAGTCATTCCCCAGGCCCTCAAGTTACCAAATTTTTGCAAGAAGATTCCTCAACATTTTGTTTATCACCAAAATTGTCTCACATCAGCTGTAGGTCAACAATTTAGTAATCACATCAATGCTAAAGCTATCAGATTCGAAGAAATGAGTGACATGAACAAGGTTTTGAAAACCTATTTGATGTTTGATTACATGTATGTGGGCATGTGCACCACATACATGCTGGTGCCCATGGAGGCCAGAAAAGGGCATCTGATCCCTGAACCTGGGACTACACCCAGTGTGGATGCTGGAAACCAAACTCTATGTCCTCAATAAGAGCAGTATGTGCCATTAACCACTGAGAAATCTCTAGAGCCCAAACAATTTTTTTTAATCCTTCACCTCCCCAAGAGTTTCTAAAGCAACAGCCAGATAGCTAAGACATACCTTAAATAGCCAACAAGGAACACTGGCTCTGGGCATTTGCAAAATTTGTGGTCAGTGAGAAGCTGAAAGGGCTGTTACCCTTGGCAGCACTTTAATGTTCAAGTAATCTTAAATCTCATTTCCTGCAGGGCCAGGTGTACAACCCTAACCATTCCAGACCCATCTCCTACCAACTGTGCTGCATACATCTCCAGTCCCAGATTTTCCTGTTTCTTAATTACACTTAAACTAGGAAAACATTCACAGGGGTCATTCAGTGACATTTTACAGCTATTCCTAGCTCTGTCTGTAAAGAAAATGATAGAGGAGGTCGTTCCCCCTTCCCAACTTTGAAAACTGTACACTGTTGTAGTGTCTATCAAGCCAACACGCACATGTAGGAGTGTTCCATTTCTTTTTCCCCTTTTTGTTTTTGAGGTAGGATTTCTCTGTAGCTTTTGGAGCCTGTCTTGGAACTCTGTTGTGAGCCTTGAACTCACAAAGATGTCTCTCTGCCTCCCAAGTCCTGGGATTAAAGGTGTGTACCACCACCACCCAGGGGAGCTCTCCATTCTTACGTAGCCAGGTTGACCTCAAACTACATACACAGTCAAAGATAATCTTGAACTTCTGATTCTCCGGCCTCCACCTCCAGAGTGCTGGGTTATAGGCATGAACTACCCAGTTTATGCAGTGCTGGGGATGAACCCAGGGCTTTGTGCATGAAAGGCAAGTACTCTACCAACTGAGCTACGTCCCAGCCCTGGGTTTTCCTCCTTCTTAATTACATCTAAACAGTGAAAACATTCAGAGGTTGTGAGAGTATGGCTTAATCTTGAAAGAGAATCAAGGCTGCAACCCCTGGGGATGGCAGTGATAGCACAGATGAGACTGAAATTTCATGTTTAAGCAAAATTCATCTCTTTTGTTCTGTATGTTGCATAGAGCCATTATAAAAGACCTACCAACCAAATGGTCCACTTGGGAACTGATCTGCTCTACAGCAGTACTCTATGGCAAGTCTGCACCTGGGGATCTTGTCCCCTCTCAGCCCTCACCCAGAATAACTCAAATGTGTATGTACCATGATGAGCCAAAGCACCTGAATATGCTGGGGACTATGCCTCATCCACATACATGTTCCAAGTCCTTCCTACGCTATGTCCAGGCCCATCTACACCATCTCCAGACCTAAATACACCATCCCCAAGCATACTCACACTGTCCCCATGTCTATCCGCACCATACCCAAGCCTATCGATTCACTCTCTCAGGTCTACCTATGCCATCTCAGCTCAGGATCTGATGGACAGGATGATGGAAGCTGGTTCCAGATCCTGGCTCTCCCCTTCCCCTAACCCACACCTGGTTTGGGTTTGCACTGCCAGGTGGACCTCTTCTCAGGACTTATACTAAGTAGCTTTTGCTCTTATTCCCTGTGAGTGATGCTCCTCCACACTATGGCCATATGGAACAGCAGAAGCTCCTCCTTCTCTACTTCAATACCAAGGATGGAAGACACTAGCTGGAGACACCAAAGCTGCCATGTATGTTCATTCAGTAGTTAAATGGAAGCTGTGGCTCTAGCAAAAGTATCTTCATACCTAAAAAGATCTCAAGTAGTAAGACCACCTGGTAGCATCCATGGAGAGCAAATTGCATAAATGTAGGAGTTGTAACTTACTTGATCTTCTTTTTCAAGTATCATGTGATTATCCAATCTGCATTGGAGTTTCCTGAGCATGGCACCCAGCTTTATAGAGCCCTTAAGCCCTCTACCGATACTGGCAATTAGCATGGCCATGGCTGCTGCTGCTTTAATGGGATAATAAAGTCATAAAATAGTTGTTCTAGAAATAGTGCCTTTGCCTCCCAAATGCCAGGATTACAGGTGTATGCTACCACACCCAGCCATTTATTTGTATTTATAGCCATGTTTAAAGTTCATAGCACATCAAATAGCAAATCCTCTGTACAAAATGTGAACCCACCACTATTGTATACAAATTTTGTATATTGACACATATTTGAGATTAATCTTGTTAAATTATGCTGTACATACATTTCTAATCTTGTTCAAGGTATTGAACTCACTTAACAATGTAATGCACATTTCTAATCCTTGAACATTATTACTACCAACTATATAGGACAATAAGGAAATGTAGGTTTAATTAGTCAACTATTACAATCGAACTGGTAGTCATATTAGGTATATTTTCAAGGTCAGACAGAGTTATATTTTAGAAAGACAGGTTGTCTTCAAACACTGCAGAGATCTACAGAAGATGGCATTTAAAATGATTTAATAACATAGGTTCTTTTTTTCATGAGACATGTCTGCTCCTGGCATCACCGATTTACTACAGAGAAAATGATGGGCATCGAAGAGTTTACTTTCTTTGTGGCAAAAGCAAGCCACTGAGCAAGAATTTGCCCTTGCCTCAACTGCTGACAGTATGCTGTCCAAAT